TACAAGGTCTTGTCAATAGCCATTTTACATAGATTTGAAAAATATTAAACAGAAATAATCGGTGAGTACCAGTGTAGTTTCATGAAAGGAAAGTCCACTACTGACCATATATTCACCCTCAGACAGGTTATGGAAAAGTATTATGAGTATGACAAAGACCTACACATGATTTTCATCGATTTCCAGCAAGCTTATGATAGCATTATTAGAGACCGGCTATGGTCAGCACTTATACTTTTCGTAATACCAAAGAAGTTGGTTAATAAGTTGGTTGCGGCGACCGGTTCGCGCTGCCGACCCGCGACCTAACGGACTAAGGTAAGAGATGCGGGCGCCACCCAGCGGTGACGAATGTACTTAGCATCCGCCACCGGCTGGGGTCGCGGTGCGACCGCGTCAAGTTGTTTTACTTGGGTGGAAAAAAGTGTAGATTGTTTTTAAAAATTATCAACAGTAAAGATTTTATAAGAAGACTGGGCATCAAACGAATAATAAAACTATGTATAATTATTTAAAAGTGCCATCTATTCCGCAAACATTGCGCGATCGATTGGAAATTATTCATTTAAAGGGTACACGGAGTATGTTTTTTTAAATTTTATTTTTATTTAGACTAAAATTACAATTGTTTTAATGGTCATATAACTGAGAACCAGTGGCGTACTTACGGGAGGGGGGGTATACGTGGGTTGTATCCTCCCCAGGGCCCTAACAGTACACAAAAATATAACAGTCACACCTAATGAAGTACTCAATATTCTTTCACTGTCCTCGAGAAAATTAGACTTTGTTTTGTAATTAAGAATCCAAACTTTTGTTTACATGCAACATGTATATAATATTATGGATATATGTTTATATTGAATAGGTATGGATGTTATAATCTGTATCCCCCCCCCCAACCGTGGAAAAGTCCTAGATACGCTACTGCTGAGAACATGATATTGCATGACAAATCCAGCTTGATAAAATAATGTATGATAATATAGAGATACCTACTCTATTAGTGTCACACAGTTGGGATTGGGTTGTAAATTTTTGTTATTTTTTAACTATCGTAATTGAGTGTTTAAAAGACCTTAAAAAATCGTCAGATACTAAAAATAAACTATGTTATATTGTTTCGTTAAAAGTAATTTTATAACCAATTTTTATTTAATTAACAATACCTATATATACATACTGTATTTTATATCTTTCTTGTTGCTGTATAAAATATTTACAGCATCGCATTTTGTAATACTCTAACTATTTAAAAATGTATTTTATCGAAGGAAATGAGAAAACTACATACTATTCGATTGAATGTGTTTATTAATTTGTTTTTTGTTATGAGCTCTAATATTTTGTTCACAAGAAAATCCTATAATATTTGAATAAACTATGTGTTTACCGCCATACGGTGTGTGTACGGCTTATCAGTTACCGCGTTATCATTTATAACCGAGTTCGACCTAACCATGCTAGATAACAATCGGCGTCCCTATCCCAGTCGTTTATCACTATTTTCTTTCGTTTCGCATTTCGGATACTTTGCTGCTCGTGCCTCGTAGTTAATAATTTTGTATAATTAAAAAACTAGGTATTACAAATTTTTACTTAATATTTTTCCTTCAATTCAATCGTACGTATCGATTGGTTGCGAGTGCAGACGCCGGCTAGTATTTCGTATTGTACGGTTTTTGAGTCCCGATAGACCGGTGACTGTGTGTTGACATGATTCAGTACTTAATAAAAACAAAAAAACACTGGTCTTTGTCGAAAAGAAAGCTTTTATGCTATTACATCTTTTTTGTTAAAGCCAATGCGCATGTGGTGTAAATACGGTATACTATTCGTACAAATATATTAAAAAACCTTATATTATGACTTGTACATTTTTAACATACCGGACATGAAATGGTGTACTCGAATAGTCTTGTCCGTGTTAAAGGTAATAAGAAATATGACATCACCGAATGTCACGTATTATAATGTTTAACAAGAACGATATACGTTTTTTGGTCAAATACAATGTGTATAATAAACCTTAATTGTAAAAAAACGAGCATTCATAAAGGTTGTCGGTAGCCAAGAGTTAAAAACTATTGTCGGCTTTGTAATTTAGTAAACCGCATATTTCACCATTCGCTGTTGTAAACGATAATTATACCAGATTACACATATTTGATTAAACTTCTCTTAATCAATTGTGATCTGCTGAACAGTAAATTGAAATTTAGTTTTCCCATTGTCTTTACTACAGACTTGAATAAACAACGTATGAAATGTTACACTTTTTTCTTGATTCGCATGTACTAATGCACCATGTCTAAAACAAGACGGTTGCAATGTTAACACGCTTTGACACACTGCTTATCGTTAGCTAAATATATATGCCTTTGGTGTCACGCTTAGGATCTTTTTGGAATAGCTTGAAGGTATGTCCAAAATTTTGGTACCCTATGACAGTTATGTTTGTCGTTAAAAAAAGTAATTGTTGTAATGTAAAATATAATGGCAGACCTCTTCGACACACTGCATATTGCTAAAATATTATAATATAGGTATTGACTATTAATATACTAAAAATGTACATTTTTACTCACTGTTTGTTATTAAACAAACAAGCTTAAGTTAACACTGAACCAGGACCAATTTTATTGTAACCTATAGCATAGGGTTACAAGATTTGTGTGTTCAAGAAGATCGACAGAGTAATTGTAATTAAGGGATGTAGTAACTAGCTCAGAATGATGTTAGGAGTTAACAATTAAAAAATTATTCCTTGATTAAGCAATGTCAACGTTCAGTTTTTAGAAGTTTTTAACATTTAATTTAAAAATTGGTTTCAGACTGTTAGGACAGTATTTTTAGCCTAAACAGTATTTGGACTGCTATTCTGCAACTAATCGGTAAAATAACATTATATTTAGAATTATATAAAATTATAATACAATTGATTTTTAGAACGAGTAGAATACTTGTGCATGAAGTTTAGTAGTGAATATAATTTCTAAAAAACTGGAAATCATAATGTGTACACAGTCTCTACTCTTCATTGAGTTCACAATTTAATAATAATATATGTATACTTAAATTATTAATGTTTTAACTTGCAAAAATAGGGTTCAAGGTAACTAGTATCAATAGTAGATACAACACATTCAGTAACATTTATTATTATGCATACTTAATTACTCATTATTTTTTAAAAACTGTTGCAAGCCAATATGTATGACATAAACTATGCAAGGTTCCAGTTAATGAGTATTTTGGTTTTAACGGTTATTATAGATTTATTATTACTGAATTCTACAAATAAACCACTTGTAATTTATTGTGGGGATGTAGCCACAACGGTGACAGGCCGGTGTCCAGTGGACAAACAGTTTTTTAATAAATTAAATCATTGCAATTTAATATCTTAAATTTTAGCGATTATCAATTAAAGAATGCTAGAAAACTAGTACAAGAAAAAAAAAAAAAAAGTATTTTTTTAAGAAAATGGTTAAAAAAACAATTTTGGTTTGACCTACTGTATTTTTTACATTTTTCAAATAATTTGTTTAAAAATTTTTTTTTTTGAAATTATTTACAATCTGTATTTATATTTACAATAAGTAAAATTTAGGGCTAATTTATTAACAAAGCTGGTCGACTTGATCGAAGGGGGCGTCCATTGACACTACTTCAGATTTGTAAGTTAATGTTTTATTTAACTAGTGTGTGGTGTGGTTTTTATTTTTAATTTATATATTTACATATGGGTTGAGAAGATCTCTGGGCCATTTACGCTTAAGGCGGCATCGGGGGTTGTCAGGGAGAGTGAGGAAAGATAATTTAGATATTAGTGGATTTTGGTGATTAAAAATGTTGTTGTGAAAGTTTTTATAGAATTGGGTAGCTTGATCAGGAATTTTTAAGTCGTTGTGTAGGGTTCGGTCCTTAAAGTAAAATATATAAAACCAAAATATATCGGGCAACTTTGCATGTCATTTTTAAAAATATATATAAGATGATCTTTTTGTTATAGTATCCTTGTTGAATATTGCATAATGCATTCTTTACAAATATTTTGTGTGCATCTATCATGCAATTTACATGGAACTTGTGAATGTTTAGAGATAATCCTCCTGAAAAGTTGTTAATTTTGACTTATCACGTTTTGACCAACCATCGAAGATATATTCTTGAAATAACACACCTAATTTAACTTTATAATTGTATTTTATATTTACTTAATATTTAACTTTATGTTTATAATTTTATAAAATTATAATACAATTGATTTTTAGAATGAGTTGAATTTGTTCATGAAGTCTAATAGTGAATATAATTTCTAAAAAACTGTAAGTGATAGGTGTGACTTGAGGTACCTTCAGGTATTACTCAAATTTTTCGGCGTTCTGAAAAAAAAAATTGTAAGATAAAGTATGCCACTTCATCTTCCAACAATTTTTTTTTTTCGTAAATACTAAACTGATGTTTACAATTTGATTGTATGCAAAACATTTGTATTGTACATTGATCTACTTGTAAAGCTAACACTGATTGAGTAAATTTCAATATTGTTTGTGAATATTATTTTAGAAACCGAATACCGAATACTTTTATACAAAATACAGAACCTGTTTGAAATATTTAATGACGATTGTTTGAAAACATGTTCTGGTTATCCTTACCTGATTAATTTAAAAAACATGTAAAAGAAGTAAATATTTGGTTTAAATCACCTGGATCGTCTTTACAAACTATTTGTCTCAATTGTTATAGTATCCTTGTGAATGTTGCAATCTTTAAAAATATTTAATGTAAATCTGTTTTATATTTTCTATCATAATAAGATTAGTTAATCAAATACAAGTATAAGAAATGTTATTTAACTCAATATATATTCTTGACATAACACACCGAATAAGTATAATAACTTTATATTTATAATTCGATAAAATTTTAATATAATCGATTTTTAGAATGAGTGCAAAATAGTCGTGCATACAGTTTAATAGTGAATATAATTTCTAAAAAAACTGTAGGTGATATGTGCGACTTGAGGTACCCTCCCAAACAACTAAATTTGGGTGCAATTCTAGTACAGGCATAATTAGCATTAATCAATTTTTTCGGCGTTCTGAAAAAAAAAAAAAAAATTGTTCAGTGAATAGTCGAAAGATGAAGTGTCATCACAAAGCTATATTATTAATCAGCTGTATAAAATAAAGGTGCATTACCAGTATTTTTAAACCCCCTTTTCTTCTTCTATTTGTAATTATAAATGTTTTCACTTTTAAATAATTACTAAAATTCGTTAAATTTTTTTTTAAATTCACAAATATTTTTGAAGTAGTTAACCGCATGAAGAACACTTAAGGATAGGGCAATAATTGTAAAACGTCAAATAAAATGGACAGTTACAGCTAAAACGAAAAGAAAATCTAAAACCATTACTTACATCTATTATCGCTTTTTCTGTATTTATCCGCTACGGCCGACTAGTGCTCACATAAATAAACTGTTTCACGCTGAAGGTTTGAGGGTTCCGACTTGCTGTAGTCGTCCAATACGTTTGGCTGAAAAAAGGGTGATTGTAAAAAACATATATGAGTTAATTTATAGAATCTGATAGTTTTCTGATGTTGGACTGAACGAGACTCGAGCGTAAAAAAAAGTATACCTTTTTAACGGCTTTGACGAGGAATTAGCACCTGAGGCCATTAGCGGTGACTAAAGTGTTCGTCCGGTTCATTTTTGTATAGGACCAAGCCGTGTCATTTAAAAAATGTAACTTGTTACCGCGATGTTTGTATTTTTTTCCATAGTCGCTTGTTGTTGTCTCAAATGAGTTGGATTCACTTGCAGGTTCGGTGCTGTAAACCGACAATTATTTAATCAAGATTAGTGATTACCATCGGTGCACGAATATTGTAATCGAACCTGAGCATTATATTAACAAATAGATGTTCAAGTAATAATTTCTAACAACTTGTTATTTAAATCAAAATTGCCCAGGTTCAATCCTAGGGGATTAGCTCAAATAACAGGTATGGAAATGACAATTAAAATAAAAAATTGTCTTAAATAATTATCGTCATTTTCAATATAAATTGAAATAATAAAATAGCCAGCATTGTGGAATCGGAGTCACGGATTTTTCGCAATTATCTTTACGGAAAGTTAAATTTTTCTTGATCAACAAATAATTATTTGAACTTGGTAATTATTTAATATTCCAAACTTAATGTGTTACTATTTAAC